TGCGCACCAACCGCAACCTTACCCAAATGTCTCCCCATGCATACATTGGGTATATGCCCTCAACATTTGCAATCACCCTCACCCTACAGCACGCTCCAGAACACCTACCCGTATCCTAGACGGATCTCTAACATACAATAAGCTCGCAGCACATCCTCACACTCTCTCATCTCTGATCCTACCCACCACCTTCGTGCCTCTCATATAATTGCTTGCACACCCTTCCCCACACGACCGTCCACTCGGATAAACCCCCTCTTCAAATATATACACTTAACCCTTATCTTATATCTATTAAACCCAATCCACCTTTGTCGACGGTAGCATAACAACACTTCTACCCAACCAATCACACCCAGAAACCCCATATATATCGAAAAAACCTTTTTTAGCATTCTAGTTATGTCCGGTCCTGCAACGGATATTACTGCTGCCACATGCCAGACCATACTATATAACATCACATTCACCACTATTACACGTTGATGTATCGTCAAATGCAAGGGTCTCAAAACATTTAACCTACCCACCAACCTATCCACTGCCTCCCAGAATTAGCATCCGTGCCTCCCCGGCATTCCCCATATAAATATCCCACACACCTTTAGTCTATCCACCACACACCAAACGCACAGCTGTTTCCCATCGCGCCCTCCCTACCCAATTCCCTAGACCAATAATTTCGATTTCTCCACATTCACTTTTAAACCTGTAACACCTTCAAAACCACCAATTACATCCTCCACCTCATGTAAACTTTCCTCCCTGCTCATTAGAATTGTTGTATCATCCACATACCCTATTATTCCCATCCCACCATTCTCCACACCACGTACCACCCTAAACATCGCCCCACAGCCCTATAAAAAGGGTCCTGTATACAAGCAAACAACAGTTGAGACAGGGACAACCCTGCCTTATGCCTCTACCCATTGAAACCCACTCACCCAATTCCCATTCACCTGCACACGTTACACCTACCCTATTATACAAAGTCTCAATCCAACGTACCATCTCTTCCCCAAAACCCTGCCTCCGTAAGATATGCCACAGTTGCTTTCGTTCTACGCAATCATACGCAGCCTGCCAATCCAATGCTAAGACACCTCCCCCCCTTTCATTCTCCCCCTCCATACTTTCCACAAAATCTTTTATTATTCCATGTCCCTCATACTCGTCCTTCAGGCACCCCATACTGACCTCTCGCAACAATCTATCTATCACGCACTTCAGCCTGTTCCCCAAGATTTTTGCGAATATCTTATAATCAGCACATAACAACGACAACGCCCTGTAGTTCTGCACTGTAGTAGGGCCTTCCCTTTTGGAATCAATACTACTACTGCAGTACGCTGCAACTCGCCCATCCTCCCCTCACTTTTCATCACATTCATCAGGTTCACTAAAAAATCCTTCAACACACTCCAATTCTTCACATAGAATTCACAAGGTAACCCATCTATACCTGGCGCTTTACCTCTCGCCATATTCTCCAAAGCTCTCCATACCTCCCCTCTTCAATATCCCCACCCAATGCCATACGATCACTTCCACTCAGCACACAAGATACATTCTCTCCCAATCTCTCTAAATCCTCACCGTTCACTCCTACACTCCTCAATATTTTCCAAACCAACTATCATAAAACCACTCATACCCTCAGTAGTTCTCAACTCTGACCCTTCGTATACCCACCTAAGTCCTCGTGTACTACCAGCTTATCAATTTCCATTGCCAACCTGCGTCTCCGCTGACCCCGTAACACACAGGCTGACGGCCCCTGTCACCCCAAATCGCCTCCTCTAACCCACCTTGCACCCTCGCCTCATCAAATCTCTCATTGTGCATATCCCTTATCTGCCACTTTAATGCTTCAATTTCCTCCATTGGATACACACCTGTCACAGCACCCCTCTGATAACAAACCCTGCAACCGCCCCTCTAAATACTGTTGAAGCCCAAATGTCATCCATGCCTCATTCTTTCCCCTTCGCACATAGTATTGCTGATCCTCGTCTTTGCAACCCCATCCCACCACCCCAATAAATCGCTTGCACTCTTACCCCACCCCATAAGTCCTCCCACAAACTTTCAAAATCCCCTCCCTCCACCCCTCCACCCAGTAGTCGTACATTCAGCTTCCAGTACCCCAAATATCTCTTAGGCAAAACCGTCCCAATTTAAATCAGCATAAACCCGCCCTATGATCTGAATAAACGACATTCACCGTCTGCACCGCGTCACCCTCACTCCCCTTGTCACATACAACCTATCTAATCGTGCAGCATATCCCTTTCTATGAAAAGTGTGCTCTATCTCGCAATCCCCTCCATAACTATATCCCTCAATCCCACACCTCTCAATAGATCCCTAAACCTGCCAAAAAAACACCCTGCCCCTCTCGGTTCCACATCCTTCCTGCGCCACCACACAGTTCCAGTCGCCACCAACTTTGTCACTGACGGTAATGACCGCAAATAATATATCCAATACGTTATTCACAAATTCATTCTTTACCCTTACATCATTCTCAGCCGGCACATACACACAAATGACTGCCATCCGCTCACCTCTCCACCACCCATCTATTCTTAACACACGACCCCCCCCCTTCACTCCTAAGAACAACAAAACGGGCTCGTCTCTCGGATCAGGATTCCCACCCCTCCCTTCATTCGCTCCGAATACATCACAAACACTCTGTACCCATCCACCTCCAATTCCTTTCCCAGCTTGAAATTATGTTCCTGCACAAAACAATGTCTATAGCATAACGTCTTAAAAATCCCTTTACCCACAGACGCTTCTCACTCGCACACAATCCATTAATATTTCACTGTCATGCACCGGAAACCTACTTATGTGATTTCACCCTCTGCCCTTTTCACCTTTCACTGACACGCTTTCAGTGTGTCTGCTTCGTCCACTTTTCTCTCCACTGCCCACTGGTGGCTTCCCCTTATCCAACACCTGACCAGGCGTACCTTTAGTGCTCTCACGCACCACATCAACCCATGGCTTTTTCCCCGGTCTCTGTGCCGGGGTCAAAACATCATCAGAGTCAGAATATGTCGCCGCCCTCTTACGGTTGACACACTCTGCATCCATTTCCAACTCACTGGATAGCCTCCCTGTGAATCTCAGCAGTCACCCAATCACTTCCACCACTCCTGGCGAGTCATCTGCCATGTTCGCCAATCTTCCAAGTTGCTCATCTTCAATCTGAACATTACTCCTCACCATACTCAAGTTATCCTCAGCAACCTGCCTCTCAAGGATTTTTCCTGCACGTTCACCAGTAGGCCTTCCTCTACCCGCACGTCACCCAATCTGCACAGTCTTCCCGTTCTCCATGGCAGATGCCTCACTTCCCACCAACTGTGACAGTGATGGGCTGGTACCCACCAGTGGCAGCTCACGCTCCACTTCCTCACTCCAGGAAGTGCCACTTCTATGTACAGGTGCCTCATCAGCATGACCCACCTCTGGTTCTGGCTCTTTCACCATCTCACTACCTAGGTCCTTTCTCCGCTGCCATCTCCACACTGGGCCGCCATATGGTCATATGCACCACATAACTACACGTCTTCTGCTGCCCAGCGTAGTACACCATTACCTGTGTCCTAAATGCGTCCAGTATGACGTAAGACGGGATGGCATGCCTCAACTCCATCTTGATCGTGAACGTTACCATCCGGCAAACCGGCATACGCCCCATTCCGTCCATTTACCAGCCATAGCCAGGTGTACAGGTCCATACTGTTCAAATACATACCGCAGATCATTCTCGTCCGCCTCAAATGGCACATTTCGGATTTCACCCATGTGTAATGCTTAGACACGTCGATTAGGCGAACACGTATCGCTGAATTAACATCCACGCTCCTGTCCTGGTACTTGTCAACCAGCCGTTCATACACTCCAGCTGAACTCAGCTTGACGAAAATACGATAGGCACCATTTAGTGCCACACCATACAGTTCTTGATCCGCAACACCATAGGTGTCACGGATAATTTGCGGTAAAAGCACTTGTGCAGACTGAGGCGTTATTGCACCACGCAATAATTCAATGCACACCGTGTGCAAACGCCTTCTCACAGACTGCGCCATGTTGTGAAAATATGTCTCCTCCAATGGCCAGCAGAGGGCAGTAGTCACACGTCTGCACTCTGCGCAGGTCAAGCGGCGAAATGGCTAATATCCATAGGTGTTGGTACCAACAAAACAAGTATTCGTAGAGAAATATAAACGTTGTCTTTAGAACCGGGAATAAAGTTATTATGTGTCTGAAATCGAAAAATTATTCCATGGATTGAAAGACAACACCATCATCAACGTTCAACTAATGTCTAAGTATTTATTTCATAATCACTTCTGTCAAAAATTCTGCCAAACACAGCAGGTTAAGTTAGGTTTGTCAGGAAACAGGATATAGTGTTTCCTGACAACAGGTCTCAGTTATATTATGACCTACAGCTGGAGCTTTTAGTCATCTGACCGAGGCCTTCCGCTGGCTTACCAGTCCACCCCTTTGAAAATTATGGTAACCAAAATATAGCAACTTCGCTCATCGTTAATAACTCACAGCCACTGTAACTCTTTTTAACCAGCAGGCTCACTTTTGCCGAGTCTCCTGGGCCAGTGAACTCTGTATATATTGATATGCTTCACTATAATGTTTATGACTGAATTATTCTTACTGTAGTATGTTTGCAATCGTGTTATAACGATTTCATTAGTTTAGTTAACATTCTACTGAAACCGAGTCCCTAGACACATTACTGGTTTCTGTAACCTTTTGACCACTCCCCGTATGATGAATATACCAAACACACGACGGCCATGATGAGTTTGCGGGTGATTACCGCCCAAATTATGAAGAAGGGATGACTTCCCACCCACATGAAGGGAATAGGGTGACTATCATTCGCAGGCTGGGCAGGGTGAGCATAATATAGTTATCAAACTGTGATTCTAACTCATGTGGTTGTGTGGCAGCTGGTGATGGAGTGTATCCTGGGGTGCGGAGACATGTCTGACCTCATCAACGGCCTCATTGACGAGATCGGTAAGTATTGAGATTTTAAATATAAAATATTTTAAATAATTTTTACAATCCAATTATAATGATTTTTTTGTATAACTATTATAGGATTATTTTTAAGCGAGTAATTTTACGACACAATGAAAGTTGGGTTCTTCCGGGGATTGAATCCATGAGCTCCCAGACTGGGAGAGCCGCGAGAATCACCACTCGGCTACGGCAGGTGAGTCTTCATCGCCATGAAAGTTGTGTCAAATGTCCATTTTATGTCTAGCTGCTCAGCAGGGTTGGTAAGTACGGTTAGGTAGCCTAATTAGCGGGTGGAGGATCGAACCTGCATGCCTCCTTGTGTTGATAACTCAGCTTCATGTAAATAACAATCCACAGTTCCTGGCACCGAGTACAGCTTCTCTTTCTCTCATGGTTTTCCTGCCAGATGCTGTGGCACTTGTCATTGTTATCGCTAGAGTGGTATAAGGAGACTAGAGTGTAGCTATGTCTGTACATTATTGCTCTAGAAATGTTCTGTTTTCTGTTGTGTGGTCATCGAAATTTTTATTTAGTTACAAAAATATATGAATTTGTCAGATAATAGGTTCATTTTAAAAATGATGTAGCTATTTTTTTTATATGTATTTTAATTTCTTGTTGCCATATTGCCTTCCAGTGTTACTGAGATACACACACACACACACACACACACACACACACACACACACACACACACACACACACACACACACACACACACACAAACGATGTAGCTTTTGGGAACGTCATCAAAGACTTATTCACGACCCAGTACACAACTTATGAGGGAAGGCCTAGGGAACTGAAACTGACGACATTAGAAAGTTGAAAAAAACATGGGAGATATAATAACGAGATACAAAATACTTAGAGGACTTGATGGCGTGGAGAGGGATAGACTTCTTGAGACGGGTAACGAATATTACAGAGTACAGTTGAAAATTAAAAACACAGATGAATCACACTGATGTCAAAAAGTGCTTCGTCAGCTTCATGGTAGTCAGAGTGTGGAGTAACATCGGACAGAGAGGTAGGGAAGGCAGGCTCTATGCATAGTTTTAATACTAGGTATGACATAGTGAATTAATAGTGATTGTAGCAATAATAGTTCTAAGGGGTGACAGTGTTAATATTAAATGAGTGTATTAACAATAATATTAGGAATAGTGCAAGTAGTAGCAGGAATATTAACTTTATGTTTAAAACGTTTCTTTTCTCTTAAATTTCTATGCACAGTTTATCATTGAATTATGTTTTATTTTTTAAGTTTCATGCCGACAGTGACAGGATGAAGAGTACGGAAAAATCTTCGCTTTATCATTCTGATCTCATCTGTCCAGAAAGACACTGTAGCCCTCGTGAAGTAGTTCATTATTCTTGGCCAAGATCAAAAGAGTTTATGTTATCAGTTTTCGTTAAACACTTGTACGTTCTCTACTTCTTCTTACTTCCCATCTTCCTTTCCCTGATCACTAACTCTTTCCCTTCCAGCGCCTGTCGTTTTTGATGCAGTCTGGGGTGTGATCGACCCCATCCTTACCAGCGCCTTGGAGAACGGCATCAACGACATTCTCAAGAATATATCCATATCTGACATCATTACTCTGACCCAGACGTAAGTTTTTCCTATTTACACAGTTAAATTTGCAGGAGAAGAGTTGTTGCTCTACCTCAACTCATTTGAAAACCCAGCCCTGTCTAAGGTACACTAACACCCTCCATGGAATGCAACCCACAACAGTCATTTAATACCCAGGTACCTAATTACTGCTAGGTGAACAGAGGCAACAGGTGTAAGGAATTATGCCCAAAGTTTCCCATTGTGCCGGGATCGTATGCCGGTGTCTCAGTTATTAGCCGAAGGCGCTACTGCTTGAGCCACGAGCATGGGATGTTACATTTACCTAAGTAAGCATAACGAATCAAACAGCTTTTATGTCCGTTGTTGTTATTCTGATATATAATTAGCCTCAACTTTGAAGAATAACGAAGTCGTCCTTATTACCGTAGGTGAATTGACTTTATCATACTTTGGTTCATTCTTATTGACAATACCTAAACTGAATTGATTTTCCTTTAATTATCCCTGCTCTATCCCGTCCCTCCGCCCCCTGACCTTCTCTTCCCATTTTTTCTAACTGGCTTGATATACCCTGCTGCTTCATGCGCACGAACTGACCCGTCCTGCCGTATCCTGTTCGCGTGCTCTGCTCTGCTCTGTGTTTGACATGACACGCCGCAATCTCTAGAAAAGAGAAGGATATAGGTAATGGTAACGGGTTCGTGGATCTAGTGATGGAAAGTGTCGACTCCCACATCGTCTCCAGTGGCATGGATCCCGGTCCAGTGCCCAACGCTACACTCAACTTTGGGCTGGTATTTATTTATGTATTTGTATTCAGTAAAACACTACAGCCGTGTAGGGGTGACGGATTTGCTGCAATTAGTTAATGGGATTTTCTGAAAGTATTTATTCAAGTAGGTACGCAGACTCTTAATAGCAAAGGCAGTTATACGTGTATTTGGAGTTGACATCAATTCCTTGTAACTTATTTGGGTTAAAATGTATTGTTGTTACTCACAGGATGAGTGTAGCTGTCCAAGGAGGAGCTCCTTAAACAGCTACACTCATATATTACAGTGCCTTGGTTATTATTATTATAACTAATTATCATCATTTTGGTTAAATAATTTATTTCATGATGACGCTGATGATGACTGATGATTGGTGATGATTATACGCACAAAAATTTTGCATTAGTCATGAAAAATGATAGGAGGGATAATGATAGTCTGTGTTTAATGACTAGTGCGCTGGTTCGCATGCAGCAAAATTTCTATGAAACAAATTATTTAGCAATAATCCAATGTAACATGTACTCTTTGTATGCTAGAGTGAAGATAAAACGAAAATATTCTATAGAATAATTCATTATAGCATCATGGAGGAGAGTTGAGTGTTTGGTTGTGTCACAGGGGACGGCAGCGCTGTATGGTGGGCAGCTGTCAGGTCTCTCTACTATGCACAGAGACGGCTTAGCCACGATCGACAAAGTTGCAGACTGGGTCTTCCTCTACGCCAACGTTGCTGTCGAGAACCTCCAGGTTAGTGTACGGGGAAGTGGTGGATGGACGAGTGAGCAGAGGTTAATAGTGGAGTTTAGTAGCGTGAAGAATGTGTAGGATGGCTTGTAGCTACATAACCGAGTGATGGTGCTTGTAATTAAGACTGTTCAGGGGGAAACCTTAAGACGTGTATTATGTTCAAACATCTGGCCACTGGATATTGATTATTGGTGTTAATTTCATTTAATTACATTAATAGTAGTTTATAGTCCCTGGTAGTAAGTGTTGATTTTAAACTAAATCTTGTGATAATATTTTAATCCCCGGCGGCAGTTTATAGTCCCAAGAGGTTTGTCCTGGTGGTAGTTTTACATCCTCTAGAGGCAGCTCTTGGCTGTACAGTTTTTGATGATTGCCCCAGAGTGCGGGTCTATTTTTTTCCCCCTGGGCGGTAGTTCACTTGGTCGTAGCAGATCTTACGGCAGTACTGTGACGGTTTCTATTTTTATAGTTAGGATTTTTAGTTAGGCTTAACAGGTTTGAACTATAAATTTTTGGGTAAACACGTCAGTAGGTCCAATAATTTCCCCGTTGATAAGTTACAGAGCTATAATGATTCCTGGATGTTCATACTTGTACCTAACGACCAGAAGACGGACTCTTAATTGTGCTGATGACTCTTATTATAAAAAATACAGCTAAATCCGTATGGGCTAACAAGGTTTTACAAAGATTATTCTTGTGAAGTCAATCATGGGCTGAGAACTTATGACTTTCTCTTTAAAATTAAAATAGCTGCGTCATTATTTACAGTGAGGAGAGCTGTGTGACCCTGGTGGGTTTAGCGTTTAGTTTTAATTATAATATTTACAGTGAAAAGGAAGAAAATTATTGTATTGGTAAGCTCTGAACCCGTAGGGGTCATACAGCAGCTGGGGATTGCAAGATGATCAGGTGTGATGTGTGGTAGAGTAAGGCAATGTCTTCAGCATAAGGGCACCTCTCCTTTATTGAACAGAGATTAAAAGTTAAAATAAGGGATTGTACTTACTACCAAGGACACGTCCAAGTACTGTATATAAATGGCCCCTCAAGGGAGGTTCCTTGACGCTGGTGAGGGGCTCTTGATCTAGGGAATTGGATCTGTGTTCCAGTTCCCTGAATTAAGCCTGAATACCTTTCACCCCCCCCATCCCCCCCGTCTATGTTGATAAGTTTTCACTTCTAGGAGTGGTATAAACCTTGGTAATAAATACCGACAAGTTGGTTTAGAAAGACACGTAAGCAAACACTATGACATAAGAGATCAAGGTCCCAGGACCGAAACGTTTTCTAATAAATGTCATAGTGTTTGCTTACGTGTCTTTTTAAACCAACTTCTAGGAGTACCAAAGACCTGGTGTAACTCAGGTCGTGTTCACTCGAATGTTACATCTGCTAACGACGTTGTTAGATCTTGAGTTTCTTGTACTTATAGTATTTCCATTCATAATTGATAACGTGTTCATTAACATTGTTCTTTAATTTTTGCCTTAACAAATTTCCCTATCAAATTAATAGTAATTAGTACAAAAGTCTTAAATCCGTGGGGGCCATTCACCTCATCACATATTACTGAATATCAGAAGAGGCGTTATATAAACAAAAGCAGTCCTAAAGTCTCATTTTACACACTTAACGCATCCACTAAGTATCCGTCCCTGGTGCAGATGGAGTACGACGCGGTGGTGAAGGCGACGAGTGAGGTGTCTGGAGTGCAGATCAGTGCCAACGTGGAGCGGGTGGCACTGTACCTCGTGGCTCGGTACGATCTCTACACCAACACAGCCGATATTGACCAATTCATCATTACAGAATTTGGGTAAGATTTTTTGTAGCAGCGGCTGCTGTTACTCCAACTGTTTTATTAGTTGTCATTTTTATTAAAGTAATAAAAAAGCGTTGAACTCGCACGGGTCATGTAGCGCCTGACGCCAGAGGTGTGACGGCGAGGGAACCAACAGGTGAAGGTGTGCGACGTGTGATATGATTAAATTCGGCTCAGTAATCTAGTTTCGTTTAATAAACCATAAAATCTGTTGGTGGCACTATCGGGGGGGGGGAGCATTCAGTGAGGACGTTGACAGATGACAAATGAACCATACGTACTCTTTGATAAAAGTACTCATACACCATGTCAGTTCATAAAAAGCACTTTCCTCCACTCCCATCTAACACGTTCTCCCACTCCCGATATCCATCTATTTCTTGCTGGGACGACGACTGCCCCGCCTTTCCTCTAAGATCATTTTACCCTCCTAGTCATCCTATTATGCTTCATCCTTTCTAGGTCCTAACCACCTCAACCCCTCATCTACCCCTTTCAGTAATACTTATGGTAACCCAACACCTAATTTCAAGGCTGAGAATTCTCTGCATAGTATACACACCACACATGCTCCCAAACATAACATTTCTACTGCCTCCAGTCTCCTCGTTGAAACATTCAAAATCCATGCCTCACAACCATACAATAGTGTTGGTTCCCCTATACTTTGGTACATTATTTTTTCTTTTCTATCATGGATAAAGTTCTTGGTCTCCATAGATGCCTCAATGCACCACATACGTTTTTCCTCTCATTTCTAGTTCACCCAGTCTTTCATAGACCCATATGCTACCAAGTCCACTCACAAATATCTAAACCTTTACTTCCTCCTTACTACCTTCCTCCAGTTTGATATTCAATATTTTATTGCCTATTTTGTTGTTGCTCATTATCTTCTTGTTTCCTATGTTTACTTTTAATTTCGTCTACCAACCTTTACAGCTTCTCTTCAGAATCTCTCACAAAAGTCATAGGCAAAAAGCAATTGAAACTAACTCCCACTTTGTATTATATTCGTCTTTTAAACCATAACTTTTCCCAACATCCTATTACAACTCCATCTGTAAATGCTAAACATGGTGACATCACATACTTATTTAAAGCCTACTTTCACCGGGAAATTCTTCCCTCTACTACATCAACATAAAAACACTCGACTGCTTTTAATAATCTGTAGCCTATTTTTTTTTTTATATTTTATTTAAAAACACAGGATACAGTAGACATGTATATCACACAATTGACGTGATCACAAAACATGAAACATTTACAAAGAAAACAAAAATTCCTTATAATTAACAAATACCATACATCAAAAATTACTACTATCCTACCCTACTTACGTGCCCTTAACTCATATGACTGTATATACAAAACTTTCTATGTGCACTAATGCTTTGGCCTCTCAATTTATATTGTAATATTAGCATTTAATACACCAAAACATTCGTAGCTATTCATCCCGAATTTTTGTATTTTGTATTATAACCCCCTCAGTATTCAATATATTGTAAATCATACACGATGTGATTTCAAATCACAAAATATGAAGACATATATAAAGTGCTACAACATCCGCAAGACTAACAAAAAAAACTAAACTAAAAATTTTTTTTTAAAACAGTCTAAATGATAAAATAAAAATTAATTAATTAGCTCCTAATCCTGCATATAATTATAATCTTTCATTTGCCCGAGAGCTCGCCGCACTTACAACTTCGTGCAGGTGCAGGCGCATGCTACCTCCCCCCCATTTTTTCCTTTTATCCTCACCACCTATCCTAATTACAGGGTTACACAGGGTTATACTGTCGTCATCAAAAACAATATACATTAATATGTCAGCAAGTTGTTACATGGCCTTGGGTCCCAGGTAGGACCATCATTACCAGTACGAATACCAATGATATAATACTGAAACATTTTCATGGAATAAAAATTCATCAGGCACCATACATTAGTCATTATAATTAAAATATTGACATAAGGTTCATCGTGTTCCGTCCTTATTTTTTCCGCAATAACACTAAAGAACAAAACCGGTTGACGAATCTTACTCAATCCCCACTATGGACATTGCACAATAAAATTGCTCACTCCTAACCAATACCTCACAATTCATCATTCATCATTGTTAGCATCGCTGTTGGGCCGTGCGGAGCACTGAGCGCAGTAGCTCATACTACACCTGGTTACTGCGCATTTTCACTGTTCAGACATGGCGGAGTACACCGGCAGGAGAATTAATACAGTCTGCATTGAGCTGTTGAAGGGTTCTCTGAGCCCTGATTCGACGAACGTCCTTCTTCCTGCGAGTATTATGGGAATGGATTTATATGGAATCCCTAATGAGGAGCTGTTATGGTCGTGGCTCTTAATGGGATGAAGACGAGTTTTTGTGAAGTTCCTGAGGAATATGTTACTACAGGCAGTCCCCCTGGAGGAGGAGTATCAGAACGCCGAATGAGCCTCACTCTGACGTTTGGTGTATGCATGCATGACGTGTCTCCCCTTACTACTACGTGGGTACGAGTGAGGAATGTACCCTTTGAGGCAACCTCAAGGTTTAGTTATGTGGAAGTTTTTTAGAAAATATGGAGTCATTACTGAACGCTAGAGGGGGGTTTGGCGGGATGGACCATTGGAGGGCCTCCGGAAGCGGTCATACAAACATCAAGATGACCTGAAGAGCCTATAACCTTCGTAGGTCATGGTGACGGGTACTGAAATCAGGTGTTTATGTCTGTATGTGGGGCGAGGAGAACGTGTTCGTTCTTTGTGGCTCTTATGACCATTATAGCGCGCGCATTGTGCACGCAGAGTTGCCCAGGGGTGTCAGCCCCGGTTAGAGGAGGTCACAGCAGCGAGTGTGGGTGGCAGGCGGCGAGTCTGGGATCCTCTATGGAGTGAGGAGGTGGGAAGGAGGGTGAACAGATGTGGGGGACGTGTGTCACTCTCCGGTAGAAGGATGGAGATCCTACTCAAACGCCTGTGGTGGTGGCGGAAGTGGTGGAGTCGACACAGGAGGTGTCCTTGGAGTCAGTGCTCAGGAATTCTTGGAGGAGGCTTTGGTTGGAGAGGACATGGGTGGACGGACCAGTGAAAAGCAGCAATTGCAAGGGCAGAGAGAGAAGACGGAAGTAGCAGGAATAATAGAAAGGATACACTTGTTGTGGCAGAGGTGCACAGGGAGGATGTACCTGAGGAAGAGATGGCTGTGGGAGGCAGCTCTAGGAAGCGGCCAGTGGGGTTGACTGAATTAGATGACGTTTTAACGCCTGGGCAAAGACCAGGTAAGAAGGCATGGGCAGAGGTGGTTCGCAAATCCCTACAGGGGGGGGAGTACAGGAAAAATCGGGGGGGGAGAGACAAGGGGGGGTAGGGGGGTCTTATTAAAAATGTAATAAGGAAAGTGTGAGCAGCTTGAAGGGGAGTGTAAGCAAGCCACAGCGGCACAGAGGTAAGCCGCCTTCCTTGACATTCAGGTGTTTAACGTTAAATGCTAATGGCCTAAAGACTGGAAGTAAAAAGGGTATATGGTTGGAGTGGTTCCTCAAAAGGTATGACGTGGATGTTTGTTTCTTACAGGAGCATAACCATAAGTCAGGTAGTGAGTTGCGATGATTGAGAGGCTATAAGTTGTTTGTAAGCATGGCAATGCTTTTAAAGGGAGGAGTGGCTGTTTTAGTAAAGGAGACCAGTCCATTGCGAGTCATGGGTGGGAGGAGGGGGGAGGGGGGAGGGTTGTTCGGGTGGATGGGTGGTGGGGGGAGAGCAGGGTATGTTTTGTGGGTGTTTATATGCCAGCGATTGGTAACGTGCGGATAAAAACAGACTTTGTTCGGGATGTATTGTTATCTATCTCGGGGGTTTTTCCCTGCTTTTGCGATAATTGGAGGTGTTTTGGAAATTTGTGTGATTAGGCATCAGACGTCATTTTAGGGGGGGCGGGGTGCGTTTTTGGGTGTCTTCGGGTGCATTGCGTGAGTGGGTTGTAGATGGGGTCGGCAGGGGGGTTTCAGGTCGAGACCCCTAGTACAGGGGAGTTATGAGGCAAGGTTGGTAGGATTTAGTGGGGCGGGGTAGGAGTGGAGAGGGTTGAAAGTAGACGTGGGTTTACTGACCACAGAGCAGTGTTGGGACCTTGGGGTGGGGGATTCCGAGAATTTTTTCAGAGTTACGGGAAAATTAAATGTGAGGCTTTTCAGGAGGAAGATCAAGGTTGGCCCTTTCAGACAGGGTGGAAAGGGTTTTTGGGAGGTGGGAGAGGAGGGGGATTTGTAGATTGGTGGGAGTTGCGGGCCCCAAAGGTGCAGTTTGGGGATTTTTTAAGAAGGGGGGCAGGGAACGGGCCGATGGAGGTTTGGATTGCAGAATTATTTAGAGGGCCAGTTGAATGATTGTTTGGGGGGGTAGGGGGGTGTGGGGGAGTTTTGGGGGAACTTAGAAATCGTTTAGTGGAGATGATAATGAACGTTTTGATGCATAGGGTTAGGGCAGGATTGGGGGAGTTTAAAGGGTGATGACCAACCGGGTATGTACTCGAAAATTTAAAGAAGACATTGAGGAATACGGTGGCCATATTTTCGTGGGGGGGGAGGGGAGGGTTAGGGGGAAGGGGCTCTCTGACACAGAGTTTTCAGTAGGGATGCTGATTTTTGGTTTACGGAGAAATGGGGAGAAGGGAGGGGGGTTGGGTTAGAATCATTTAGAGCTATAGGGGTTTTAGCGGGTGTGGGGCAGGGGGGTTGGGGTTTTTTGGGGGAGGCATTACGGGGGCGGGTGGGGGAGGTGGTGAATGGGTTGAGTCAGGGGGGGAAAGGGACCGGGGGAAAAGATGGGTTACTAAAGATTTTTACAGAGCACATTGGGAGGATTCAGGGAGTGCCCAGTACCAACAATACCCCCGTCGATACATTCTTCTTTGCAATTTACAGGGTCTAAAGCAGCAACAAAAAAACAAAATCCTTTCATCCCTGGGCTGTTTGCGAGGC